CAGTAGTCCTCAAACCAATGGGTTTAGACTTGTGCTAAACACTTCTATCATCTTATTCTCACTCAACAAACAGAAAATGTGAAAACATGGAGTGATTGAAAGCAGACAAAGAACTTATTCATATGGAAGCCAAGAACGGCTGTGCTTTGCAATTATTCTTTTTTAATGCTGCTATCTTGAGATCACAATTACTTTGTTATCTCGAGAAAATAATGTTTTCCTCAGATAACAAGATAATCAACCTGTCTATACAAGAAAACAAAAGGTTGTTTCCTCTTTATACTTATTATGTTAATTAGCACTCTCAGGAGTGCCACGCCAACATGCATAGATGATGTATTATAGATTTAGCATTGGTTTAACATAAAGGATATTGCATGGAGGAATGACATGTAATGTGCCAGTTAATATTTATTTTTATACTAAAAAAGTGCACAAAAAGAATCTAGACATTGCAGAGATCTTCGAGCTAATTTAGTTAATCATAGTCTTGCTATATTTTGTCAGTATTGCATCACATTGCCAAGAAATGAATAGCTCAAATTTGCTGTCAGTTAGCTGTCTGGTAACCACTCTTTTCACTTCAGTTATCAATCCTCCCTGACAGTTATGACAGTGGTCTTGAAGGCTGAAATCAGGTGTGAGCAAATGAACAAAAACTGATTTTTTTCTCGTTGTTAATTATCTTGAGATCTCAACTTAATTTATCTCATTATCTCGTAAACACAAAAGGCAGGTTTCGACATTGCGAGATAACAGCATTAAAAAAATTATAGGTACAGCAATTCTCTCTGCATCCCTGTATTTTTTTTATTTTCTATTTTGAAACTAACTACGTTTTACTGTTCTCTGGCATCCTTCCTGCTCTGCAGATCCAGGCAGTGGTAGCGATGACACGCCTCTCCACAAAGCCACCGAAGCCTCCTATGTTCAGAGCCGGTCTCAACCTCCCAACGCCCCCAGCCTCCAGCGCCGCACTTTGCCACCACAGCGCAGCTCCCCGCTAGGTACGTCCCCACAACACTGTGGAAACAAGCGTCCTGGTGCTCAGTTTTTCTGTACATGTGTATGCGGTGTTAGACCTATCTCCAGAGACAACATCCTTGTCCCAATTCAAGGTCACTCTGCCTGGTGATCATATGTGCCTTGAGATTGGACATGTGAGCCAGTGCTAGTGGGGGTGGCAGCTAAGCATTGGAATGTACATGGAAATTGCTGTCATCACTCAAACAACTCATCACAACTGCTAAACTGGATTCCTCTATTCACATGTCGGTATTCATTCCTCAGTAGGATTCAGCCACTCCCAGCCCTGTAATGACAGCACTGGTTCACCTTCAGCCTCTAATTCACAGCAATGACTGTTTTCTTAGTGTGTTATTTTTCTCTGTTTAGATTACTGAAGTTGTCAATGAGTTGCATAATAGAATAGTAAGACAGTTACCTAGCAGAGTAGTTTACAGGCGCTGGTGTACTGTATGGTGTGTGTAGCTGTACCTGCATTCTGTATGAGGCGTACTGCAAATTTCATGTTACTACTTGGTTCAAAATGACACCATAACACTGTTGGCGAGGCAGCAGAATATATGCTTTGAGTGCCTCACCGGCTTCAGGCAATTGATTTACATATGAGGCACGTGGGCTTATATGAATTTTTTGTGTGTTTAAATGGCTTTGTTGACATCTCATCTTTCTCACATGAGTGTAAAATGTAAATTACATTCACAAATTAGGGGGGGAAAGGGCCACTTTTTAATCTGTAACTTAATCTAATATAATATTTTGAGATTCTGGCCTCAAGGCAAAAGTAAATACTTGCTTTTCAGCCAGGTCTTTGACAGGGCATTTTTCTATTTTTGTTTGTTTGAGATGGAAAATTATGGCCATCAATCTTACACACACTCAAGTCAACAGTTCTTATCACAGCTTTATTAATATAAAATAAGTGATAAAGATTAAAGTGGTATGATTGAGTGTGCCCCATTGACATGCTCTTAATATCCACCATTTGTTGCATTTTCCTTGTGGGAAAAAAAGGAATACAGAATGAAAAGTAATTACCCAAAAAATGGGAATCCTGCTGAAATGTATCTTAACTGTTGCTTACCATTGCATCACAGCAGTGATACAGTACCTTATACTCCTTCTCTGCGGATGTAGGCGTCTTTGTTGTTAGATGGTGCACCATGTGGCTAATGTTGGCATCCTTGCAGCAATTGTGGAGTATCAACACCATCCAGTGGTCACAGAGTGTATTTCTTTGTGCCTCAGCGTCCTGCAACAAAACCTGTGTGAACAACCGGAGGAGCAGCTCCAGCTAGTGGTCACTGTATCACACTGTACCTTACTTATATATTTTCTCATTTGTGGTTTACACCAGTCCCAACCTTTTTCAGTTAACTTTTTCAACGAAATACTGATTTCCCCCTGCCTGATTGTTGCATTGAAATCATTTTTAAGGGCCTGAAGTATTTTTCACGAATATATATCGTAAAAATCAAAGATTAGATATTAGTTATTATCTGACATCCCCTTTGGTTGCTGGTGCAACCAACCACCAGGCTGGGAACATGTGCACACAATACATGCTGAGTTGCAGAATCAAACTTTTATAATTAACAGCAGTTATACTAATGACCCTAAAATACTCTATGTATGGACACTGGTAGACGTATTCAGATCTGTTACCTACAGTAAGTAAAATAACTATACCACAGTGTTATACCTCATCCTTTTCCTGTATTGTTTTTAACGTTGTGTGGTAAGCCAAAATTTTTTTTCCACAACTACCTGACTAATAAGAAATACTCCATTACAAGTAAATGCCCTTAAATCAAAATTATACTTGAATAAAAGTACAGAAGCATAATCAGCTAAATATACCTAAATTATCAAAAGTAAATTTAATACAGAGAAAACCCTGTCAGAGTGTTATTTTATGTGTTACTGGATTATTAATACTGGTACAGTCATTTGTAAGCAGCATTTGAATGCTGTAGCAGATCAAGGTGAACCTAATTTGATCTACTTTACATACATGTACCTTAGTTTAATCCATAGAAATAGATCAGAATGTATAAACTCGTTTTATTTATGTTTTTTGTGTGTAATCTCTGTCTGTAAAGTAACTTGTTACCTTAACTGTCAAGCACATTAAAGTGAAAGAGTAAACAGAATTTAAAACCTACGTATGAGAGAAATCAAAAACAGCATTTCTTGTGTTTCGAATGCGTGCATTATAAAATACATTAACATTTTTCTTTACCACACAGCCTCTAGGAGAGAGCTGCAGAAGGACATAGAGGCTGTGATGCCGCCAAAGTCCTCCCCTAAAAGATTTGCGGTGGTTTCGCCCAAGCCACAGTCCCCTGGTGAGTCTTACATATCACATTGCAGCCTGTGAGTGTGTGTACATGTGATCACATACTGTATGCACATACAATACAATATACATCTGATATTGTACAAATAGGGAAAACAGCAGTCAAACATCTTCAGCCTCTACTGTATCTTTAAAATTTAGTCACTCTCTCTCTCGACGCTGCATTACAAGACCCATGGCAGCCTGCTGTTGTCATAGCAACAAGCTACAGTGGCTATAATGCTAGGATGGCTCCTTCTGTACCAATCCTGCTGGGTCAGATTACCACTTCAGCATCTTGTCTTTCTCTCAGTCAGTGACCAGACAGAGTTCAGCTAATAAAAGTTTGCTGCACACATAATACACACTCATATTTTCCCAGAGGTGAAAGGGTTGCTGATTGGTCTAAGGCGTGAGAAGACTTGAGTAACAGTAAGCTGGAAAGACCATTTGTCCTTGTGGGAGGATATAAACCACTGAGGTTTCCAACCAATCCGCAGTTCATTTGTGTGAGTATGTGTATGTGTAAGAGAGTTAAACAATTACTAATATTTTCCGCAATGTAACTCAGCTATTTGGTATTGTTATTAGGGGTGCAGTTAATGCTTGTTATTATCGATTTAGCTGCCGGTTATGTTTCTATTAATCATTTAATATATATTAAAAAATGTGTGAAAAGTCAGTGAAATAGTTTAAAAATAACATGCTTCCAGAACCCCAAGTAGATTTTACTAGTTGCTAATAAAGGTGTTCATTTTACAGAGATATAAAACGGGGTAAGCACCAAATCCTCAGGCTGTTACCAGATGATAATTTATGTATCATTTTCCAAAAATAGCTTTTATCAAAATGAATGTTGATTCATTTTCTGTTAATCGATAATCACTGTTGTTGTAACATTAGTCTTGCTATAGTTGATGTTCACTCTTCTGATTCTACTTATATACACATTATAAAGTCTTCACAATCTTTGGCTGGTGCAGATATGTCAGCGGTTGCAGAGGAATGGTTGTGGAATAGGTTATCTACTTGTGAATGGCAGTGTTCAGATTTTTCACTTCATTTTCATTCAAGTGTGTTATGAGTGAAAATATTTCAGTGTAGGTTGTTCATCCTTCTGCTCTGTGTTTCTGTAGTTCGTGGGCGGACAGCAGCAGTTCATGGAGCTGTTCGGACTGAAAGGGCCCAGGAGCTGGACCGGGCTCTGATCCAGCAGCTGCGGGAACGCTGTGAGCAGCAGGCCCTGCAGCTACAGAGCCTTCAGGCCCAGTTAAAGAAGGCCTCCCTGTGCCTGGACGTTTTCAGCATCACCACCCAGCACTTCTGTCACAAGGTAGGCTACAACAGGGCTCTGGGGGTTGACAGAGAAGCTAACTCAGTCTTGCCTTCACTTTAAAATCTTCTATGGAGCTCCAAAGTCCAAATTATTGGAATCTAAATTGTAAAACAGGGGTGCAGGAGGTTTCACATCCCCTTCTTCTGCCTTTTTAAGGAATCTCTGACATCCAAGATTTTGGAGCTTTGCATTCATAAAGTAACTTATCAGAATTTAATCCCACAAGTATCCCCTGGCTTAACTCTCTGAGAAATGAGTTTTGCATCTTGCAAATTTAAAATCTGGATGTTGAGCAAGGATGAATTTTCAGAACAGCCCTGGCTTAGAGCTGCATTATTGTGTAACAGTAGCATAACTTGATCTTAACTGAATCAAGAGTTTGAGGACAGAAGGTGTTGTACAGTGTACAGATTGTAAACACCCCTGAGGGAAATTGGTATTAGTAATTTTAGGCTATATAAATAAAATTTGACATGCCTTGATAAAGTGAATTTTAATATGATGGATTGCCAATCTCAAGCAAGTTTGGTTTTCATGCTGAAATGAACAGAGAGAGAGTGGTTCACTAAAGTTGGGCTAATCAATCTGAAAAACCTATTTTTTAGGTAATAGGCTAAAACATGTAAAACCAGTATTCTCTACTAAGTGTCATGCAAACAGAATCCTGTAATAGAAACTGCATCTTTTGATTCAATCAAACACTTGCATTGTTGGCTGTGGTTAATCTAAGATGGCTGTTCGTTTTGCTGTTAAAAACTACAAAGGGAAAGCTGTTGCTGGCTTCAGACTGCAACTACAAAGTGGGATGAGACCAATATCACAAATGACACCTGCAGCATCTGGTTTCTGTTGTCAGCATTACTTTGTTCACAAAGCTTTAGAACCACATTGTTGCAGCTTTTTGAATATGTTGAGAATAACCCTGAAGCAGCAGGATATGTCAGTAAAAGTAAGAAAGATTTTTCTAGTGGTTTAAAGGAAATGGTATTTGATGCATTATGGGTTTTTATACATTCAAGTGTGTATATACGCATTTAATGTTGGGTCTGTCCTGCACTGGCTGGATGGTTGACTCATTTAGTATTTATTTCAAATAGCTGGGTTGATGAGTATTCTCTAGCTTCTGGTAGTACAGACAGGCTGCTTGCGCACTTTGACTGAGTGTGTTCTGAACTCAAAACCTGGATTAGTTGCTTGTTTCTTGCCCTTTCCTGGTCCTCTGCTTGCATTTAATCCATTCCCAGGTCCCACCCACGGGTTCTGCTCTGAAGTGGGAGATGATTAATAAGATTAAAGCTGCCTGCCTGGTGCTCGGTGTGCTTTTAGTGAGACTGATTGTAAGACACTGGTAGAATACCCTCTAAGGTTTGACGGGAAGATGTGGAAGACTTGAAATATGGATCCGAGATGTATCTACAAACTGGAAACTTTGGAGTGTATGGGACCAACCTTTAAAATGTGTTACTTTCATTTGATTTTCAATCACTAATTATGACAAATTGTCAGTGATTTTCTTTTCCTTAAATATTTGTTCACTTACTAGTTCCAGTCAGTTTCTTTTGGAATACAGTGCATAATTTTTTCCGATATTGGCCAACATATTATATTTCTGTGTTGATAAGATCTGAGACTAACTTCAGCTCTTCAGAACCTCCTCCCTCTACCTTGTAATCTAGCACCACTGCTCTGGTCCTATTTGCTCATACATGTTCTGGATTTTAAGATGTATACAAGCAGTAGAGAATAGAAACTAATTTTTTTTTTTTATGAACATATAATTATTAATTGACCTATATTGGACAGATTTCTTGCTTTACTTTGAATACGAAGCTGCAATTTCAAATCATTGCTTCAGTCAAAAGTATCTAGAATAAGTTATTTTTTATTCAGCATATTTGTGTTTTGTATGTATTGAAATGCCTGCATGTAGCTATTTTCCCTGAGCTGAGTAACAGAGCACATAATTGGCCACTTATTGATTATCTCCCTCCCCCATCTTATCCTGCTCCACTCTCTTTGTTTTTTTTTGTTCTTAAAGATGCGAAAGACAACACATCTGTGTGTGTGTGTGTGTGTGTGTTGCTCTCTGGCATGCGTGTGAATGTGATACAGGGCGTGTTGGTGGGGGTTTAAGGGGAGGGCAGACAGAGCTGGGCTGGGGCTGGCAGTCTTTGTTCCAGCAGGGATAAACGCCGGTCGCAAACCAGGAAACGAGGTGAGGCTTCGGTCTTCCCATCTCTCCTCCCCTCTCCTTCTTTCGCCTGGTTCCCTCCCCCTCTGTCTCTCTTTCTGTATCTTTCTGGCACTCACATCTATCACTGCTGCCTCCCCAGTCGGCTCAGGGATGCTGCTGTCTGCTAGCCCAGTATGGGCCATTGCTGCTGTAGGCTCCATTTCCTCCCTCTGCGCTGTCTGGACCACACGGTAAAGGCAGTATCTTCTGCAGGCAGCAGGCTTGTTTCAGTACAGAGGATTCCTCTGATTATTTTTGTATGTGTGGTTGTGCGCATGTGTGTGTGTTTAGTTGGGGGGGAGGGTGTCTGAGGGTGTCTGTATGAGCGTTATATTCACCTGTTTCCTAGAGACAGAGCTGGTGGAGAGAGTGTAAAGCTGTGCATGATGATATGCTGAGTCAAAGCAGGCTTGTCTGTCGCACTGTCCCTCTTTCTTTTCTCTTAGAGTTTGCAGGGACATTACATAACATGTTATTGCTGGTGTGCTATATTCTTACACTTTCTATCCCTGTGTGTACCTTCTGTCCTTAATGTATGTATGCTGGTGTTATTCTGGGTGATTATCTGTATGATAGAACTTCCTCCACTTAGAATGCATTTTTCTTTGGTTTACTCGATGCTATCTATAAGATATCACATGTTTGGTTTTCCTTATAAAAGTCAAGCTGTAGTTCCAGCTTCCTGCATGTGCGATGGAGTCTCAATCTCTTCGGGGCAAAAAGTCCAAACAAAACAGCAGCTGCTCATTGGAAGGTTTTTATGATCCCACTGAAACTAGGTGCAGACTATTGAAGAGGTTTATTAACTAATTACAGTATCTCCTTGAGAATGAGCACCTTAACTATAAAAAGCCTTGTTTATTTAGGTAGAATGTACAGTGCTAAAATGATTAGTTGATTAACAGAAAGAGACCATTATTTCTACACGTGACGTATCAAGGAGAAATGTGAGGATTTGCTTCCTTTCTCTGTTCTCTGTGTATCATTGTAGAATATATTTGGGTTGTGGACCCTGGAGTTTATTGTGATGAGAATTTTTCACTATTTTCTTATGTTACAAAACAAAAAATTGTTACAGAACAAAAAATTGTAATCTAACAACTGATCAGAGATTCACAAAAATAATCGACAGCGTAATCAATAAAGGAAACAACCATCAGTTGCAGTTGCAACAGTTGAATTGATTATGTTACCTTGGTGAAGCCAGATCAGATGGGAAGATTAGCATGCACATCACATAACTCCCTGGAGATCTAAGTAGGGGGCGTTTGGGCGGGACGGGGAAATGATGGGTAGGAGCAGAGGAGGAGATGAAGAGGTAGAAATGAAAAAAAGACTCCATCCTTCATCCCTCATGAGGTCAGAGCAGTCTCTCCCTGATGACTGTATGTTCCATGTAAAACCTCTTAGAGGATGATATCATTACTACTGAGGCATACTGTATACTATCTCATACATATTTCACCCACTACTCTCTGTCTCTCTCTTTCTTTGTTTCTCATAAGCACTGCTTTGTGTTCCCTGGTATATCTCCTAGCAACAGTGTGCTTAGCTGTCTTACCACATCTTTAGAATTGTGATCAATAGTCATTTAACTATTCTGGTGTGTTTTCCTCTGTGAGTAAGATTTGCTCTGAAAGTGTCACATCATGAGTCTCCAGTGGATACCAGAGCAGGCATGTGCAAAAGCTGTGTCTGATGACTGTTTCGTTTTTCACAAATGTAATGGTTGACTCTTACAGGCTGGCGTGATCATTTACTGTAGCTTGTAAGACTCTTAGCTATTATGATCCATGGTGAACTAGGTTGGTGTTCTCGAACTTTCTACTGTACGTAGCACTTCTGTGTAACTGCGTAACACAGAAAATATAATACACTATATTATATTATATAATAAGGACCACCATTATGACCGTGGACAGTTCACACAGGAGGCAGGTTTATTCCAAATAAGAACATTATTTGTTGTCCTGAACGGATCCAGTTCAAGAACCAGAGCTAATTTGGAGGAAAAGTGGTAGTCCTTGTCCACACTTCCCAATAGTTTCCGTTTGGACCATTATTGTAGTGTTTTGGAACCATTCATTTTACCTCCCCTTACGATCTTGCCATCATATTTTAGCTTGTAACTAATCATGTATGTATGCACTACGTTTATGGCCATGACTATGTAGCAGACTGATATTCAAACAAAATATGATAGGAAATGCAAAATGTATTTTAAATTGAAATATTTTGAAGTATTTTGATAGTATTATATTTTTTTGAATTAATTTCATTTTTAAAAAACGTTTCACAGATTCCTCTACTTAGCCAACCACTAGAGGCCGCCAGCAGTGGTACATATACCATCGTCTGAGAACCAGTGAATTAGGTAGTGCTAAATTGTAGTGCTGTAGAAAAAGTAAATGATACAGACTGTGTTGTTACCATTCATCATATGTTTTTAGATTGGAGTACATAAAGACTTTTGTGTTGGTTCTTGTAGCCACACATATTTACATGTTATTGTTGAAAAGCCATAAAAATGCGACCTCTAATCATTTAATATTACTAAAAGTACAACAGATTGTAGCTGTGACTTCTGACCTTTAGTCCAGCATATTGTCATCTTTTATCAGTGAATCATGGCCTCAGCCAATCTTATGTCAGTGCACTCTGCAGGGCATACAATATGAGATATTGTATTATAAATAGGGAGTGCTGGGTTTTGGTCTGGTAGAGATACAAAATGGTTTGTGGTTATTGCTAATTACACCATCTGGTGGTTAAAACATCTGACAGAGCCGTTATAAGGCATACAAATATGAGCATAGGCTGCTTTATTGCATATTATCAACATTTTTGGTAAAACAAACTGTAAATAATACCTCATGTAGTCAGGACATTCTCTTGACCTAATGCACACTACCTGCTAACAGTTTGGGTTGAAAATACCTCCAACCCTCCCTCTTCTTTGTGTTTCTCTGGTTTGCCATAAACATATGAGTCCAGTCCTAGGTCAGTTTGCCACTGTGGTACTGTAGGTGTTTCACTTCCATTTGTACAGTTCAGAGGTGTTCACTGCTGTGTGTGTTTGCATTTCAGAGTGAGAGTGCCATTGTGAAGGAGAGGGAACTGTCCCTGGAGCTTGCCAGAATCAGGGATGAAGTGGGTAAGTGGGATGCAGAGTGACATATATGACACCACAGGGAAGAGAGAAAGCAGTGAATCACTGCTTACTGCATATCATGTATTATACAGTGAACTACCACAAGGGACGGAGGAAACAAGTGACATCGAGTGAAATCGAATACCATATACCATACACTGTAAAAATCCTGCCCTGCTGTCATAGTTTCATATCAAACTTTATCAAAACACTCCAACTTCATGATGAATCATTTAGTCTGGGTTTGATTTTTTTAAAGATTTTTCAAATAAGTGGGCAAACATTGTACAGAGAATACGATCTAACACAAAATAAACATATGAAATTGCACAATTCAACATTATTAATGTGTTAACAAAACAAAATCTTAACATCCAGACCTCACAATAGAATAATATTAAATTAATAATTAATAAAATAATAAGCCAAGAAACTAAGAAGCTGTTAAATGTTTTGCTTTTGTGGATCTTCTTGAAACAAAGTTGCTTCTTTGGTTGCTGGTACATGACCTAAATTTGGATCTAGTGAAATAAATGAAAGTTCTACTTTGTGTTCCAGCTTTCAGTGTTGCACACTGGGAGCAATTGCAGCAGGAGAAGGGGCAACTGGAGCGTCGTTTTGAGGCTGAGCTGCAGGGTTTGCGGGCTCAGCAGCAGAGGGAGCTGGGAGTGCTGGAGAAGCGGCTGAAGGCGCAACACACAGCTGAGGCCAAGAGCCTGCAGGCCCAACAACGAGGCGAGCTGGAGGAGCTACGATTCAAACAGCAAGAGCAGGTGTGTGTGTTTTGATAAAGACTGGATATAAGCTGGAAAGATGCTAATGAAATTTTGTTTGTGGTTCTCAAAGCATTTTGAAACTTAATGTAAGCACCATTTAAATATGTCTTTTAGTTACTCTGGGTAAGCCACACCCCTCACTATGAACTGTTTTCATTGGAACTGCTTTCTACTGAAGAAACAGTCCCCATGAAAACTTTTAATAGTACATTGCATAATCCCCTAGTGTGCATGTATGCATGTATGAATGTGTGTTTGCGTAAAAGTGAACAGTAGTTTTTTGGGGATTGTTAATTGTCCAAATTTTTGCCCCAGATTGAGGAGATGAGTGAGAACCACGAGACTACCTTGATGGAGATGGAGACAGCTCACAATAACACTCTGGCCACTCTCCAGGAGGAGCATGCCAGAACTGTGAAGAGTAAGCATTAAAAACCTGTTGCTCTCTTGTACTGATCCACTCTGCTGCAGCTCAAGAGAAATATTGATATGTTATTTCTTGTGTCAGATCTAAAGATGGCCCATGAACAGCAGACAAAGTCTCTGGCAGAAGAGTTTGAGAAAATCAGATTGTCACTGCAGGTAAACGGTTGTTGAAAATATATGTTTTTACAGATACACAAGGTATGAAATATTTTTTGTAATTTCACAGTGACAGTAATTAACAAGTGAATATCTGTCTGGTCACCAGGATCAGGTGGACACGCTGACGTTTCAGAATCGTAGCCTCAGAGACCGTGCCAAGCGCTTTGAAGAAGCTTTGCGCAGGAGCACGGATGAGCAGATAGTGGTAACTGCTGAATGATACAGTACTGAACAATATGTTGACTGCTTTGGTGACAGTAGCTGGATAAAACTTTGTTTATTGGTTTTCACTAATGTTGTCTGCTGTTGCCAGGATGCTTTGGCACCATATAAACACATTGAGGAGGACCTGAAGAGTCTGAAAGAAGTTCTGGAGATGAAGAATCAACAAATTCATCAACAGGACCTGAAGATCTCAGAGCTGGAGAAAATAGTAGGTTTCAAATTTCTGCTTTCATTCAGCAACAAAGGAAACAACAAATTGTTATGTGAAGTTGTCAACAATATTAAACCCACACATAGAAGTTGTACTAACATCCAGGGTAAACTAATGACAGCATAATATGACCAAAAAAGGGATTTATGCAGTATTTTCTCCTTTGTAAACACACATGGTTCTTGCCTGTTTTACTTTTGTCATACATCATTTAAAAATTTTAATGTTGTGCACATTTTCTCTGTGTTTTTGAGCAGGCTGAAAAGAATGTGTACCTGGAGGAGAGACTACAAGTGTTACAACAGCAGAACGAGGACCTGAAGGAAAGAATAGACAAGAACGTTGCTGTGTCCAGGTGAGATGAGTTCCAACACGTACTAGTGCAGTTTAAAATCTATTTCAAACCAGTAGCAGTGGATTTAGCCTATTGATAACATTAAAATGTTTGAATCTTTAATTTTTCCCCGTCTGTCCTCTTTCTCAGACAACTCTCGGAGGAGAATGCAAACCTGCAAGTGCACGTGGAGAAGGAGAGCAACGAGAAGAAGCGTCTGAGTCGCACTAATGAGGAACTGCTCTGGCGTCTTCAGACAGGCGAGCTGAGCCCTCGCATGTCCCCCAGCTCCTCCCCCATCCATAGACCCTCCTCTGGACCAGGTTCTCCTGCCCGCCCACACTCCTACCATCAATGAAACTCTCAATGGAAGCTCTTGTATCAAACGCTTTCTTTTAACTGGCATCAGAAGCCCTGATTTTTTTAAAAGTCTCTGTTGAATGTTTGTTAGGACTTCCCACTATGTAAATGGACAGACATAGTAAGTTTGTTTCCTGGAAAATGCCGCTCACATGTGACGCATTTCCAAAGTCCAACCCCAGGAATTTGAATCTCTGACCTAAAGAACTGTATTAACGGTCACACCTCTTATTGTTCAAAAGGGAATTCTCTGCCCTCCTCTTTTTCTATACCACCTGAATGGTCCACAAAACAAACGTGCTGTGATACCGCAGTAGATAAAAGACCTGGTCATTGTAGACTTCAGAGAGCAGGATCAGAGTCATGGTGCCTCATTTCCATGTTTTCGCCTCCATCTACATCACCACCTTCTCATCCAGCGCTCAGGATGATGGATGTACGAGACATAACAAATATCAAAAGTGCAACAACGAACACAAGAAGCGCCTTTGCTGTCCATTTTCTCCCACCAGCAACGTTTATCAAGGCACAGGGAATACTTCGAGTAAATCACAAACCTACCTACAGTAAGTAACTCTAAAAGTGTGGATACTTCTCTGGGGCATGTTTACCTTTTACTGCTGAAATCTTTCATATAGAGTGTATGAATGACTACCTACCCATCTAACCTCAACCTTCCAACAACTAGATATCAGCATTTACCTGAAATGTAAGATTACAACAACATGACAACTCATAAATCCATTGAACTGCCAACACAGTGTAACTATGATATTGATTATAATTTTCAAAAACTATATATGTATTGCTCTCTTTAAAGCATGTTCTGTCTTCCAGTTAAAATAAATTTTATTTTAGGATTACCTACAGTGTAACAACATGGAGAAGGAAGGTGAAGGGGCAACACAAGTTAACTCTGATTTCTAATAAAACAGTGCAGTTATTCAAATGGATCTGCAGGATCTGTAGAAACCACCAAAGAGGAAATCATGAAACACAGCAGTTCGTTATGTACTGTATAGTTGTCATATGTCTAGAGTTTAGTGCTGCAGAATCAGCCATAAATGGTGCAGACATTGCAGTTCTTATCATAATGTATTGACCTGAGCACATGTAAATCAAACGTTGTTGTTGTTGCATTTGGACAGTTGAACATGCTTTCTCTTTCTTTACGTCAACCTCATCATTGCTCTTGCAGTTGATTCAAATTTTCCCCGCTGCTGATTGTTTTCTGTGTGTTTTGAAATTCCTCACAGAAACCCTCATGAGAAAATGTAATGCAAATTACTAAAACTAATTGCTTGATTCATTCACCATTTGTACCTCCAATTGAATCTTTTGACTCGCAAAATTCCTGTCCAAAATCAAAGAATTAAAACTGACTTAATCAGAGAAAAAAGTAATTCATGAAAATCTGCAAGCTGATACCTCATTTCTCATAGCAGATATTCTCAGGTCTTGAGGAGAATTATGAGTCATCAAAGGGAAGCAATTGCCATAACTTTTTTTTTTGTATTAATTGTAATCTTTTTTATACTTTTGCTTATGTTTACATAATCACTCAACTCAACAGTCTCCTTTGCAAGATATCCTTTGTATGAAATAAGTTGGATGTACAAAATATGTTTAACTATGTTAAAGAGCCTTGTGCAGTCAGCAAATATATAAAAATAGATTGAAGAAATATTGCTTTTATTATAATGATATGATATAATAATCAGCTACCCCAGAGACATCAAATGTGGAAATCTGCTCAAACAGGGATTTGGTTTCAGGTGAGTTGCATTTACTGTTAGGACAACAAGTTGATTATGTTTAACTTGGTTTTACTGTGTCCTAAAAGAAAGTGGAAATGGTATTTCTCTCCATCAGGTACTCCGATTGCACTGATTCCCTCTGTGTCCTGTGGACATGACCTTGTACTCATTTACTGAATGTTTGTCCAACACTAGAATAAGAGGTTTTGTTTACAGTTTACATCCAGTGTCAGAGAAGGTTGGTCTATCAGGTGGATGTCAGTTCTTCTGTTCATTGTTTACAGGACTTCTGTTGTAAAGATTGTATTCAGTATTTTAAAAGTTCATGCTCTGGATGAGTTTAAATGAAAGCATGTCTTTATTAGGATGTTATGCATTATTTTTATTTTACATTTCTTGTGCATTTCATTGACTGATTGATTTATGTGTCCCCCGCCAGAACTGCAACTGTAGCTTAGCTGGTAAAAATATTGTGGTCAGTGATGAGACACTAATGTCTATACAGTACTGTATATGTTGCACTTTGTATTAAGTATTAAATCACAATATGAAAATAAGTCTCCAAAAGTGAGATCTGGTGTATGTATATCTTTAAATACATAATTATTCTATATATCTATAGTTTGCATTCTTATATAGGGAAAATTACCAAAGCTCCTCTTTTGTCTTTTTTCTGAGAACACTTTGTATAAGAAGTGGCAGTGCAGTGTAGTGTAGTTCAGCAGTAAATACAATATATGCCTCTTATACAGCATCTAAAATAGATAATTAATTTAGCTCTAGTAGTAATTGCTGGCTATAAGATTCATCACTTCCTCTGCATAAAACCCTGTAACATATCTATGGGCACAGGGAAGATGATGGTGGAGTTCTTCTCTGCTGCGATGGAGTTGAGGCTCTGCAGGTATCGCAGCTGGAGAGCAGAGGGTGACTCAGCAATGACCAGAGAAGCTTCTTTCAGAGCCCTTGACGCATTCATTTCTCCCTCTGCGGCAATGATCTGAAACACAAACAGACAGACAATCATTATTTATAAGATTGTTCCCTCTCAGCATCCCTCCTTATTCATAGATATCTCTCTAGGTATAAAGATCATTTTCCCTCGTCACCTTCGCTCTGGCCTCCCGACTGGCTTCTGCCTCTGCTGCCATGGCTCTCTGCAGCTGCTGAGGCAACTTCACATCCTTGATCTCCACACGCTCCACCTTAATACCCCACGGATCAGTGGCTTCATCCAGGGCTTCCTGCAGGGAAATATTTAATAGCAAATGCTCCAGTCACATAAAACCAGTGTTAGCTCCACTAATCTGTTACGTTTTGATAAGCAAGAACTCAAATGATTACGAAAATGATTACCCTACACCACTCATCATTGCTGTTGGAGCAGATGCAGACACAAGTTTTATGCAGACAAGCTCTTATAAACCCAAAGTACCAGCAGATGTATTTACAGCTGCTTAAAAAGGAACAATTAAATATCTAGATATAGTCTAGTTTGATTAAATAGTCGGTTTAGACCAAAATTAAAGTATAAGATTTTTATTTTTTGACATATCAGTTGGTTAGAAACACGAAGATAGGGTTGCTGCATGTTTGCTGCATGTGTGAAGAGGCAAATATTTGCTGTCATAGTCATAACTTTTTAAGAAAATCCTGTCAGTGTCAGCATGTTTTGGAGGTCATCTGCCCCCTAGTGGCCAGATAAACATCTAATGCAGCTTAAAGTAGCAGATTACCCCAGAGTTTAAGTTTATTAGCATGTCTTTTCAAATTGTGAGGACCAGAAAAAGTACAATGAGCTGGTCTGTGTGTTTTTCATGAAAGATTTCCTCCAGAGATTTCTCATTGCTAATGCTTTCCACGCAAATTGTGCACCCTGTCAAAATGCAAAAAATCATTGTAAGGAAAATATGGAGTCTTATGAGGTAGATATTGGACTTTCAAACACCTACAGTCCAATTGTACAACAGCATGATGCACAAGCTGTTTGAACGTTGATCAGGGACCAATTTTATTACCTTTTTGTAGCTTTTAGAGAAAGGCACATTGTCTTTAGTATTTGGATGAAGTCTAAAATGGAAGTTGGCCTAAGAAAATATGTGTTTTGTTGTCTCCAAAAAGTCAGAATGATCCCCTACAGAGATGTATATAAATAGTCTGTGTTTTTTCTACTCCTTCTACATCATTAAAAATTCCAGAATCTATGAATATGCAAAAATTATGTATTTCTAGTTTTCCCGCTGGATACAAGATGAGGCTTTAAGTTTCTACATCAGTCTTGTAGAAGTTGCATACTTGACGAGGCTTGACTTCCAAACTATACATGATGTTACAAGTAATGCTCGTAGGCCTCGCCCCTTGAAATCAGATTTTAAATGAGCACTGAGAAACCTTCATCCACTTTCAGCAGATGAATGTGAAAATATCCTTCTAGAGACAAACTCTGCTCATACGTCACTCTGCACAGTGAAGCTCAAACATCCAACAAGGAACCAGAAGACATATTTTTGAGTGGAGGGGGACTAATGTAAGGGTCAGCAGTCACCAGAAAATAAATGAGATTTGATTTTATGTTCAACCATACCCTCTAAAATCATTGCATAGTTACTAAATGTAACATTCCCACTTCTCTCCAGCCCTCCAGCTTCCCATAATCCTCACCTGCATACTGAGTGATATGCCCTCTCTGTCAGACAGCAGTTCTGCCAGGTTTTTGGTACCGAGTACATTCCTCAGGGTGGTTTGAGCCAGCAGTCGTGTAGATGAGTGTGCGTTGGACACATTGGCCACAGATGAGATGGGGCAATGTATACGGAAGTACACCACGCCGTCCACAGACACTGTCACTGAGTCTCTGGTTAGGATCTGTAAGGTAAACCATAGTGTTTTAATCACCCAGGAAAATGATTTTTTTATTTTTTATTAATGACAGAGATAAGCTGTGATACAGGGGAGACAAATGAAGAAAAAACAAAAACAAAAACAAACTTACCTCTTGTGGAGGGATGTCAAAAGACACAGTTCTCAGATCGACCTTCACAAAGTTATCAGTGCAGGGCAGAACAAAAAAAAGTCCTGGAAAGAAGTCAAGACACTGCTTTTATTTTTTCGTAACCATCACATTCAACAGGTGGTTTTGACATCCAATACTGTATAAGTTCTTGCTGAATGTTACAGGACAAAATAAAATAACCTGGCCCTTTAGGTTTCCTGTCTGTGATCCGGCCAAGTCTGAAAATGACAGCTCGCTCGTACTCCTTCACTATCTGGATTTTAGAAACACCGCCAGCCATACAGAGGACAAGAAAGACCAAAAACAAATTAGCATGAAGGGAAAACAATATCTGGTATCTACTTCTTATACGATGTGGTTTGTGTGAGACAGCCACATGTCTTACATCTGCATATTTTTACTAATTTCATTGATTGGCCAATAATTATTTTCGTAACTAAAAAGTCTACTCCCTACAACTGAATAGATTCCTTAAAACCAATATGTGTAGAATTGAATTTCATTTCATTCATTTAATTTTGTTGGTGCCAGTGTTATACAGCAATGCACCTGTGATGAATAACTTGAAAACTGCAAGTTGGAAAATTTTTATACTAACAAAAACATGTTATCAGAGTCATTTGAACAATGCTGTAATCACATAAAAGTCTCCACGGAATAGTTTTAAAGAGCTACTAACCTATAAAAACCAGTCCATAGAGAGGAGGCAACTAAATGTGGTCCCTAATTAATAGAATAATTAGATTTCTGTATCACAAATGTGCTTCACTCAGACAACTTATAAACCATTTAAAAGTCTGACTGGTGGACCTGGTTAAAGGCTCTTCTGACCTGCCAAAACTTCATGAGGGAAACTGTTGAAACTTGGTTCAAATTGAAAAAAACTGCCATGAAGGCAGTTAAATTCCAGAGAATTGGCTTTCAAAAACAAAGAGTCCTAGGCAGTTGTCAATGAGAATATACTCCACCTTAATACACATAAATAATGTGAGCGGGAATGTTACTGCAACAGTGAGGAGTGATATGAGGACCAACAGCCAACCGCAACATCCCAGTCCCCTAGAGTTTTTATCTGTAGAGAGTGAAAATACAGAGAGGCACACTATTTTGCATGTTTTCCATGGCACTTTTGTTCCATACTTGTGAGCATTTGAATCCAGACCAAAGGATGCTTTAGTCATTATGTTTACACAATTAAACTGTAATATGATCCAGTGGGACAGAATCTTTTATTAAAGGTGACACAAAACATTCATACAATCAAGCAATGAGAGGTATTATATCCACACGTCTCATTTGTCACTAAGGATGTAATTAATCTCTAGGGAGAAGTCATGTAACTTTAAAACCCCATGAGTGAGTGTAAAGGTACTGAACTATTGATGTCATCCATAGGTGCTTACATTGTAATGGAAATGTCTCCTTTGGTTACAGAGACGATGTAGAGAAGAAAAAAACTGTCTAGTCGTAGAGTAAAAATCTTTCAATTAGTGGGTCGCAGCTAACTATTTCTATTATCTTTAATGTGTTAATTGATTTTTATATTATATTTATTAGTTCAATCAACGACTTAGTCTATGAATTTTCATAAATAAAATAAAAAAACTAAATTTGCACAAGCCCAAGGTGACATATTATAATGCAGTAGCTTTGTTTATCCATTTCTGTTCATTTAAGTCTTCTATGAAGCAAAAATGCCAAACATTCTCTGATTCAAGCTTTTCAAATCTGAGCCTCTTTTCTCTGATTTATCTTTGTAAATGAAGTATCTATGGGTTGTAGACTGAATAAAAAAGCTGCTGCATTTTAAGATGCTGCCAAAACAATTCACAACTGAGGTTCATATCTGAAAAGCTGGGACTTGAACAATGTAGACCTGGACCAGAAACAGAGATCACTATCTCTGCCTTTGTTTTGTTTTGTAATTAACCCGTGTATGTTCCATCTGTATGTTTTTAAGTATAAACCTGTACATACGATCTCTTGAGAAAAGTATTTCTGTATTATGTATTAAGTTGCAATAAAATGAATCAGGATTCATTTGTCATGGGAAGGGACTGGCAAGCTAGGCTGCCAGCCAATCAGGAATAATGCTTTATACTCTAAACAACCTGTGTCAGTGTAGGTGGGAGCTCTGGTAACTAATGTCGTCATCCAACAATTTTGCATTAAAGAAAATGTCACTGTGCTTAAGACATACAATCCTTACTTATTATAATTTCTTGTTTAGTCTTTTGTTGTGCATTAACTTTTCAGTTTCTTCTTTTCAAATCTTTAAAAAAATGTTGTAGTGCTGTAACTTTGTATTATTATTGTGTAAAATTGTGTAAGATACACAATAATAAGGAAGAAAGCAAAAAAGACCAAATGCTTTATAGACAATTAAACATAAAGTAGTGTTGTGTCAAAATATTCTGATAGAGATCACAGGCCCCTAAAAACAGCACACTTTGGGCCCTGAAAACAATATATTTTATCCCTGGCATGTTCACCCTGAAAAATTCAGACAAGTTGTTAAAAAATAAACATTTCTAATCTAATGACAGTACACTCACTTTTTGAAAGGTCACAAAAACAATTTACCTTCGACGTTGTCCACGTCGTTGATCTGAAGTTTACCTTGTGTAACCATCTCAGCCGTGCTGGACGTTGTTGAGATCATTAGTGAGTATGTTGTCGGTGTGGTGATGGAGCGAGTGAAGCAGCACTGCACTTGTTTACTGGTCTGTTCTCCCTGAGGGGTGTGGCCTGTTCCCCTCCCATCCCTCCTCACCTGCTGCTTTACATGAGCTTGACACACACACACACACACTAACAGGTAACTTCCACTTGGTGTGTGACTCTTGGACTCACCTAATGGGTGCTAGCAGGTAACATGAGCCTGATCAGCCTCTATTTGGCTACTGTATTAGAAAAAGTTCAGCTCTTGTGCTATTTAATTATACTCTTACATTCACATCCAGGAGTCTGACACCTGTTGAGTGCAGTCTATGAATAAAAAATAGGTAGCATCCAAGTCATGAAACATGAGTGGTGCAGGCACAAGAAGATGTGATCATGCTCATGTTTCCCGTCCCTTATAATTGAAGTTTACCCACATATCAATGCGCAAAATCGAGGAATCGTGAAACACACAGAAAAGCCTGTCAAATGCAGAGAGGACTGTTCAAGTAATTTACCAAAGAGATTATACTTAGTATATTTTTATTTATTGCAAATTTTAACAGTAGTATTGTGTGGCTGAGAGTGATGTAGATACGGAACTACAGAATGAAGAACAGCCTGACTTCTTCTATCATGTGAAGCAGTACAGGACAATGTGTGTGTGAGCTACAGTCATAAGAACCGTCATGAGGGCTGCTTGTTACTGCCATTTTTCAGTGAGGTCCCTTTAATCAACTGTCACATGATACTTAGTCACATGACAACCAGCTCACTACAATACATGATGAGTGCATGTGAATCCAGGGTCAGTTGTGCACAACACTACACACAACAGGCTGACTTTGCACTTTTGTACAGTTTAAAATGCAAAACAAAATCTATTTTTTAGTTTAAAAATCAGCTCAAAATTTGCTTCAGCAAAATGGAAAACAAAAAAAGAGTCATTGTCTTTGTTACAGATCAGTCAAAAGAGAACCATTTTAACTGCTTGAATATATAGTTTCTCCAAAAGTGGAAAACGGTGAGCATTTAGTCTAGTTAACAGAATTCTTCTTAAATGTCATTGTTGGTATGACTGAGCAGAAAGAGCTGAGCTGCTTAAACTGCCTAGAGGGGAGGGCGGGCTGTTCATGTGCTCAGTAAACTAGAATTACTACCTCACGGTTGTATGTCTCACCCATCCAGTCAAGTTGCAGTTCACATTCATGTCTGTCCAGGCTCATATAATGCATGTAGTGAAGACTTTCAAGTAATTTAATAAAAAGCATTTAGTGTATTTTTTGGCAAAATGGAATTTATCACTATGACTCCCGTGAATAATTTCCAGTGAGAAACATGCTGCTTTCACGTAGAGGCTATTTTTACAAAGGAGTACATAGGACTCGTGCAATGACAATCACCTGAAGTTCAATATCAACAAAACCAATGGGCTCGTGGTGGACTACAAGAGGAACAGGAGATCCCCTGTCCTGATTGTCAACCAGGTAGAGGAAGTGAAGAGGGTGGACTCATACAAGTACCCTGGGGTCCAAATCAATAAAAAAAAAACTTGACTGGACTGAAAGCACTGAATCCATTTTCAGGAAGGGACACAGAAGACTGTTCTTCCTGAGGAGACTCATGACACACAATTGATTTTACTTGACTTTGTTGTTCTAGTTTTGCTGTGTTTATTTTTTCTTGTCTCAATACACCTAAATTGATGTCCATCTGACTCAGACTTTTAGCTATCTGACTATAGTGAAAGACCAGAAACTCCCACTGAAGGTACCCAGAATGGTGACACAGACTCACAGAAAGCAAAGAGAATTGACAGTTTTACTCTACGTGCAAGATTTATTTGCATCACACAGGATACAAGCAAACCGAGTTGTCCTACGATACAACTGACTACAACTGACAAAGAAATCACACCAAAGAATGTAGCCTTTTTCCCATTTCCCTTTTTTCTATTGGTGACGTCTAAATTCTGATAAACAGTAGTCATAATCTGATGCCCAATTGTTCCTGCTGAACAATCCACATACAGTATGATGATATCATAGTATATCTACAATAAAGATTACATGAATTGGTTACATAAATGCATTCAAATGTCTTCTCCCCCTTGTTACTTCCCGAGCCACTTAAGGTGACTATGTATATAGCAGAATATCCTTTTTTCCATACAACTTAGATATCAAGCAAGCAACATACAACAATGATAACAAGAT